TAAGTTCTGGATCAGACACATTTTTCTTGTTTACTTAATCATGTCCCTCTTTTTCTCTATATATCTTGATCTTGTAGCTGTGTTTGTCTGCAGATAATTGTTATTTGGATCTGGAGGTGAGCATTATGGTGTGAAGGTGTTTCTTTTTTTGAAGGAAACTGTAATGTTGAACATATTAAGGATGTGACCAACTCGCATTCATCAGGAATCCAGCACAAGTGTTCTCCCTCAGGGATTCTCTTTACATTGCAACACTTCCCCTCTGGCAACCGAAACCAGGCTGTGCACAGACTAGCAAAGTTAATGTATGCCAGGCCTCAGTGTCTGTGCCTCAGGGAGAGCCACACACCATCTAGATGAGCAGATTAGATAGAAGCAAGATGAAAGAAAGAAAACAAATCAGAGGCCATGGTGGGAGGAGGGAATAACGGTATGGTGAGATTTTCTTTCAGTTGCATTTGCACACACACACACCCATAAACAAGTGTAAGGAGAAGAGGGAATATAAAAAATAGAAGAGAAAATGAATTGAGAAGGGAGAATTTAGAATCTAATTTGTAGTGTTAGTTAATAAGAGACAGACTGAAAGGGGGAGGGGGGAAGTTGGGGGAGGGAGAGGGAGAACAGCCAAATGACAGAGGCGTGTTTGTGTTCTGATTAGGCCGAGCCAAATGGAGGCGGCTCACCAATGGAGATAACCAACAAAGACATCTCTTCACTGGGGACAAATCTATGGACATCTTTTCACGGTCAATAGATGGAGGCATTCTTTTGTTTTGATGAAGGAAAAAAAAATCAGCTTCAGTGGATCCATGAATGCAGCACAAAAAGTTTACCGTTCATCTGCTCTTGCATGAAGCAGATGACCAAAATGACAACCGGTTTTGGAGTCTCGGGGCATGAAGGTGTGCACAAGGGCCATTTTCATTATTCCTTATTCTTAGGGGAGTCGCTACTTGAAGTTATGTTATGATTATGTTCTTATGAACAAAGATTTTGAATGCCTATTCACTCTCACCCTGGTTGCCAAGATATGATGCACTCAAGCTGAATAAACAATGATGTGGGCTCTTTGGGGTAAGACAGGCTTCCTGGCATGGGTGTGCCCACACCCTGTGTTGGTTTCTCATCTTTATGGATGGCGACAGTGAATAGATCAGTTCCATGGCAGAGCTGATGGGGTCCAGAGCGAGGTTTTCTCTCTGGCAGGAAAATAAGGCTGGGAAAGAGCCAGGGTTGCCAGGCAAGGACAAACTTAAATACTGATCAACTCTTTGATGAGGTCACTGTCTATTACACAAAGACTGTCTCTGTCACTTTGCATGCATGCATGCATGCATCTATCTATCTATCTATCTATCTATCTATCTATCTATCTATCTATCTATCTATCTATCTATCTATCTATCTATCTATCTATCTATCTATCTATCTATCTATCTATCTATCTATCTATCTATCTATCTATCTATCTATCTATCTATCTATCTATCTATCTATCTATCCCGTCAGAGTCAACACACATTCACATACACACTCACTAAACTCACTTACACAAGAAAAGAAAAACACAGCCATCCTTGGGAAACAAATTAAAAGGATAATCATCTCTTGGTTGAAAATATTCCCTTCTCAGTGTCGGTCAAACCAGAAAGCAAAGCATATGGTTATTTTTCTGTAAATTAAAAATATAAATGCTTCTCCGCACTAGATTCCCAGACGTCTAATTACAACATTGAAAGAGAGAAACAACTGATCCATGGTGGCAGAGGTTAGAAACCCAAAGAAAAATGATATGTTACAGGAAGAAATGGTGAGAAAAGTGTGACTTGTTTGAGTGCACGCACAATTTACATGCACTGTGTGCACGAATGCACTGTTTGTGTTGTTGTTAGATCAAAAATGAAGAAAAACAACAGATAAGGAAAAAAACGTGTCCAGATTTTTGTCGCACCCTTGGTCTTGCCTTGCCCACAAACAGGAATTTCAGGTTTTTAACTAAATCTGTGCATTGACATCAGCGGCTTTGCTTGTCAGACTTCTCTTGTGGAATATTACACCAATCTTACCTCATTGTCCACAATTAAAACAAGAGGATCATGTTACCCCAGCTCAGATTACATCATCTCTAAGCCCTGCACAATCAACCATCATCCCCTTGTTTGAGAATTGTAATGCTTGTACACAGATTGAACCCTCTAATCACAGCGTTTCACAGTGATTGGAACTGGTAGTTTTGAGAGAGTGAACAGAGCGGAACAAAACGATACTGCAGTGGGCAAACTGAGTCCAAGTCTGGAAATTCCTGCAGGATTGTTTATATTCTGTAACAGCAGTGGGGAAAGGGGACAACGCTAATGTTGTAATGATGACAATAGCGGTTCTGTGTCTGTAAAACAATGTGTATGACTGGCCAGCTAGAGCCAAGATTCTTTTGATTTACGTTTTGACCTCTAAACGATCCTGAATGGCCTCACAAACAAGCAGCTCTACTCAGAACGAGAGATGATGACCCCCCTCTCCATGCGTGAATAAACAAGTGACCCACGTTGGGTCTGTGAGAGGTCACTGCACAGCGGAGTTATGGAGATGGACAGAGGAGAGGGCAGACAGACAGTGGGCCTCAGAGAGACAGAGAGAAATGGACAGAGAGAGAGGGATAAGGAGAGATAGACGTTGTATGTTTGTTTCTCCCTGTGGCCTCTACTGCCCTAATGGACCCAGCCGCCACAGGCCAGCCACAGGGCAACTTGGGCTTCTCCTGTTTTGACTATATCAAGATTGATAGCTCCCTTCAGACTCCAAATCAGCTCTGTGTGGCTACATCTCCAGTCACATGTAGCCATGTTAAATGGTGGCTGACCTTCACCTTTATTTCAGCTTTCATCTGTCTTGTTATGCCTTGAATATATTTCGGACCCATGGATCAGGTCATGTGGCGTTTTTTTTTAACGTTCTGTGACATTATTCAGCGTTATTCAGGATGGATCCTTCTCAGCAAGGGAAGTAATAACAGAAACAAATAAGTGGAGCCTGATTTTGATCCATCCTGACCTTGGATCAGGCTGAAGCACCCTGTCTAGACATCATCTCACAGCACCCAGACCTCTCTCTCTCTTTCTTTTGCTTTGTCTGTTTCTTTCACACTTGCCATCTCTTCTCTTTTCAATTTTTGCAGCTCAGATCTCAATGTTTTTTGTTTTTTTTTATCTCTGCAGCTCCCTTTTGTTTTTGATCTCTGACTCCCTAGTTTATCTCATCACTCTCTGAGTCAAGCTTAGGTGTGGTCGTCTGATGATGATGACAGTGAAAGGAGGATGCGGTAAACAGAGAAGACAGACAGATTGGAAAGAATGCTTCTAACATACCAAAGATTGAGGTTCCCCTTTTTTGCTTCTTTTTACTCATATTCACTGTCTAAAAAAAGTGGCTTGTTAGTCAGTACACAGCAAGGGTGCATGCATGTTTAGTGGTTCACTAATTGTGACATTGTTACAATTAAGGACCATGTCACGCTGCCCTCATTATATTGCAATTGCGTTCTTATATGTGAAACAAAGGTATACAACAATGGTTTGATAAGACCTCTTGTTTAATGAGACTTTGCTGTAACTCCTGTGTTCATTCAATTAGTAAACAGGTCTTCCATTCAGGTCTGGGCACCCCAATTCTCATTTTCCCAAATGCGACACACCCCCACCCCTCAGTGCCCCAAAGCCCCCCACCCATCCCCTGCCCTTAGCCTTCAGCGTCCCACATTGGGTCTTGGACATTCAGGACATACAGACTCCTCCCCCAACCTCCTTGGATCCCCTTCCCCCTTCCCCTCCACCCCCCGCACACACACCCATTTGATTGTGATTGACAGCGTCTTTGTTCCATTGTGCGTAGCTGTCGCCTCTGATGAAGACACATATACAGAGCTGAGGCGCTGCACTCATTGTACACTGCACAGAAACTACAGGTCTGCAACCAGTTGCACTGTCCTCTGATGATGAGCTCAGATGCAGTCAGAGTGTAACCAACCTGAAAGCTGCAGGGCATGGCAGGATGAGATGGGACAGGGTGTGTGCAGACAGGACAAACTCTGGCTAGGCTATCTAGACCTCTCCTAGTGTGGACCAGGGGGTCCCGGCCCAATGGGCTGAGGGGGCCAGCTGGAGAGGGAGGCTCAGAGCTGCGCAATGTGTCTGAGGAGGCCGTCATTAGGGTTCACCCCTCCTCAGGGATGGGAACCAGGTCACATTCTCTCACACGGCACAAAGCAGGGTGTGTGTGTGAGAGGGATGGGGGTTCAAGGGAGGGGTTTTGATGGGGAGCAGGCCATGACCTCTTTATATCCATCAACAGATCACTAACTTGGCCCACAGACATGCTCATACAACACATTCATCCCCACACATACACACACACACACACACACACACACACACACATGCTAATGTCTGCGTATGTGCACATGCAAAAGCACAAAAATGCATATGCCAAAGCAAGAACGTGCTCTGCAAGAGGCAATATGTGTGTATTTACCTGAATACGGTTCCAGGAGCTTAAAGTCTCTGTTAGCTGAGATACCACTGAACAATATTTATCCTTCCAAATTAACCGCTCAAAATTATCAGTATGGATTGATTTTGACTATTGAAAAATAGTTAGAACAAACAAATCTGCTCATAAAAAATCATAACAGCCAGTGTCTGCAACAATTCATAATCACAATCTAGATGAGAAGATTTTAACTATTCAATTATATTACACTTGTCTTTCTCAGGCCACTGAGGACAAATTCCTTTACACTACAGCTCCAACTATGCTTGCTGCTAATCCTGTGAAATCCACAGGTTGGCTGCCAGGGAAAAAAAACAACAACAATAAAATACTGCCCCCTCTTGGTACATAAGGAGACCTTGCAGAGCTGGAGAGTATGGACAAGTCAAAATGGTCACATTTTGTCATTGACGCGCTTACAAAAACAAAACAAACAAATGAAAAAAAAAAACTTTGAGGGTAAATCAGAATTCTGTTTATTTCTTAATCAAGATGCTAGATTAAACATATCTGACCCAACCCTTCACAAACCTTTAAAAACTCAAAAAACATTCAGATCATCAAAAGATTAAAAATATGATTTAACAGCAGTTATGACCATGAGAACACTATGTTAAGGCAAACATGGAATTAAGGGCACAACACAATTAAAGCATACATATTGTTTCTGTCATTCATGTTATAACTCCTGTGAGCCTGAGTATATATCTCTAGGCTACAAATTATTGCATTATTATTACTCTATAATCTTATTGTTTTTTTCTTTAACTGAGTACATATTTTGTGCTTTGTTGCCTGTCAATGGGGATTGTGTCTCATGTCCTGTCTCTGTGTTCTCTTGAAAAAGATAAAGACATCTAACCACTTAAACAACATATTTTCAGTTCCTCTCAGAAAGCAATAGCTAAGGCATGGCCTTCACTTTATGATGTGTATGTACAATAATCCAATGTGTGTGTTGTTGTTTTTGTGTCTGTATGTATCTCTGTGTATGTGTGAGTACATGAGGTCATCCTGAATACAACATCTCTGTGACAAACTTGTGCAATTGTGCATGTTGTTTGGCAAAGCTTATCATGGTAGTGTCTTTGAACTAAAAGGCACCTCCTCTCTCCATGGTTACTGGCTCTACTCTACCTGCTTAGCCAAAAACCTCAGGAAAAGGCAGTAGGAACTGGGTGGGGTGAACAAACTGGCAGGGCACGGGGCAGGATCAGACACCCTCTTCAGTTAGGTGAGATGGTGCGTCTACGCAGGCAGCTGCATGTCAGGCATGTTTCTTCTTCACTTTACAAAAACAGCCAGAACCAGAAAATGGTTCTTTAGACCTGTACGATTACACAACTTGGAGCCGCAAAGAAATGCTGAGGAGTGTGTGGAGCACTCCAAATCATCAGTATTAAGACTATTTTTGTAAATGTTTTAAATTTCACACTGTACTTTCACTATCCCTTATTTGATAGCGAAGCATTAAGAAAATCACAAATGTTTGTTTTCTGTAGGTAAAGACAAATTTTCACCTACTGTCACATTGATTAAGTGAAACACAGAACTAGGGATGGGTTGGGGTTACGGTTAGTATCCTCTTTATTGATTCCCTTATTGATTGTTGATCAATTTTCTGTGTGAAAAAAACACAGGTTGTCATCATCGACACAACTGTTTTATTATCTCTGTCTGAGTGTCTAAACACAGTAGAAAAAAAGCCATGCATGTGACTCAGGTTAATCAATGTTTAATTTGGAACCGGTTCTCGATTTCAAACTCTAGCAATGAGAGAATCCACTCCACTGTATGTATCTCTGTGTGTATGTGTGAGTACATGAGGTCATCCTGAATACAACATCTCTGTGACAAACTTGTGCAATTGTGCATGTTGTCTGACAAAGCTTATCATGGTAGTGTCTTTGAACTAAAAGGCACCTCCTCTCTCCACGGTTACTGGCTCTACTCTACCTGCTTAGCCCAAAACCTCAGGAAAAGGCAGTAGGAACTGGGTGGGGTGAACAAACTGGCAGGGCACGGGGCAGGATCAGACACCCTCTTCAGTTAGGTGAGATGGTGCGTCTACGCAGGCAGCTGCATGTCAGGCACTTGAGGATGCTCATGGTAATGTGCATGAGAGGGCCGAAATTGAAGAGTAAGTTGTAGAAAGTGTTGACAGACAGGCCACCAGTCTCATCTGCATACTTTAAGGCCACAATGGGTGTGTAGAGGCTGTTGGTCAGATTCCTGAAGCGAGGGCTGCTTGACTCAATAACCTTTTTAATGCACTGGAGAAATAAGAAGCAAAAGAACATGACTTATTTCATTGCTATTTAGGCTGTTAATGATCAGAGAAACACACCATTGATTCTTGAATCCTGGGATAGAATTGGTATAATGTGAGTTAGAAACCTGTTGCCTTACTTTGGCAATGTCATCTGGCATCTGGCCCATGGCTTCAAAAATATCTATGGATGATGGCAGGTAAACGTCTTTAAAATAACGAACTGTGTCGGCATCTACTCCTGGGTACTCCATCTTGGCCACATCCTCCATCATCTTTGTCTCAAACTCAGTGTGCACTGGGCCAGGCTCAATCATGGACAACCTGTGAGTAGTCAGATGCAAAAAGGCCTGTGAAGGAGCATGTACAGTACAAAGTAAAGACAGATGTGAAGGAAGAACAGAGGAAAGAGGGTAATCTACCGGATATTGAACTTCATCAGTTGCACGGCCATACTCTCACAGAAACCTTCCATGGCAAACTTAGAGGCAGTGTAAACATCATTAAACACCACTCCTAAACCAACAAAACAGAGAGATAAAGGGTCGCATCACTGCATTGTATTATAAAATTTTACAATAGTCAAATACAGTAACAGCAGACATGAGTCACATCATTTACACATAAAGCCTCTTGAATTGACCAAGCACAAAGAGATCACATAGGAGGGCCAGGCAGGATATGTAAGTAAGTTTATCTAACTTGCATTGACAACTTATCAGATACTCTTTAACTCGTTCTGCTAAACCCCACCCATCTTGCACTTCAAACAAGTTAAAACAAACACTAAAAATTCTTTGCAGCTGCTTGTTATTTGACTCAAGTCAGGTCAGCAAACGTTTAGTGGAAATGTAAGGCATAGACTGACAGTTAATAAACACAATAAAGCCTTTAAACCAAGAAACATTTTCAGATTTCATCTGTCAAGCATTCTCATTTAACCTTAAAGAAAACTGCTTGCTATCATTGACAGCACTACTGGTGGAAAACAATACCTTTTTGCAAATTACATTAAGCTAAAAAGTCAGCTATAGTATTTTATTTTAGCATTTAAAAATGTTTCTGTTATGTACTAAAAACCAATAAAATTATAATGTTTCAAGTTTGTTAATTGGTACTGAAATTGTTTTTCATGGTATTATAAACTCAGAAGTCTGATTTGAAGTCAATTGAGCCTTACACTTTATAAATATGTCAGAGCTATATGAAAAGTATTTAGATTTTTCAGTCATCTATGAAATAGTTTACTAAACTGGTTTACAGTATCTAAGTGCAGTGTTCCTGTCTACAACTACAAAGTCAGTCTTAAACCATGCTTTTCACAGTCAGTTAGATTTATAAGTATCTTTTCCTGTGTTCTTGGAGGAAAACTTAACAGGATTGCAGATTTTATTCTGTATTGTTACAGTATGTATGTAATACAAATCATACCCTGAAGACCCATGACACTGCTCATGACCAAAATGTGTCCTGAACGCCTCTTCTTCATGTCTGGCATAACTTCTTTGATCATGCGAACAACACCAAAGAAGTTGGTCTCAAATACTCTTTTCATCTCCTCGATGCTGATGCTTTCCACAGGTCCCAGCAGGCCCACACCTGCATTGTTGACTGACAGGAAACACACAGAATACACACTCAATCCCCAACACTACAATTATCGAAACTGATGAATGGTTAAGATATTGTTGCTTTAATATGAAGCGATATCTGTGTTGTTTGCACTGGCCTCTTGGTCCTTCTACAAGAATAGCTCCCTCATTCATAGATTACAGATAGTTTTACTTGATATTTCCACCAGATGTCAGTGTGTGACAACAACAGAGAGGTGTGATGTAACACCAGTCCATGTTGAAAGGCCTGTGGGTCTTGAGTAATGAGGTGAAGGGGGATGTAATATTGGATTTAGGGTAAAATGGAGGCAGGTTTATAAATAGAACTTTTATCCAGACTAAAGGTTTGAACAAAAGAACTGAAAAGAGTCACAAGATTCACAAGTTATTATTCTAACAACATACAATTTACTGCCCCCGCAACACAAAATGACTATGACATTTTTTTAAAAAGGGGTTTTACATAGTGATTGATCAATACCATGACTCAGTGAAATGATGGTGATGTGATGTGATTTCTGGGATTCAAACAACACCTTTGGCTTTGTTTTAGCTGTATGGACTCCCCTTTAGAGAAAGAACGGTGTCATGGGCAGATAGAGCTGCAGACTTAGTTTCAGCTATATTTCATACAGTCAATTTATCACTGCGGTGGTCCTTTCTGTTTTGGTGCAGAATCTATCTGCCCACTGGAATTTCAAGACTTTCCAAATCTCCTCCCCCCACCTACTTTTAATGTCAACTGCAAAACCATAGAGGACAGTGTAACAAGTCTGTAAGCTTTTATTCTGTTACTCTTTCTGTTGCGAAAGTATGACATCGCTGTTTCTGGTAAATACAGGTTACTGTAACAAGGATTTTGAGGATAAGTGTTTTCTGCATTTGGTTATCACTCCTACACACATCACCACTACTTAATCTACTACCATATCACTTTAGGTTATATGCTGCAGTTATAAAACATATTATAAAAAACAGCAAACACATTTACACACATATAGGGGATGGATCAATGAAGCCATGTCATTCAAAACTGGGGATGGTGTCAAATGGGGGCTGAGGGGGTGAGTCCCACTTACTCAGGATATCTATATGGCGGTCCTTAACATTGTTGATGCACTGCTTGACGGACTCATCACTGCACACATCTAGTGGAAGCAACATCAAGGTCTTGCCATATGCATCTCCTGCCGCCTCCACAAGCTTATCCTTTTTCTTCAGGTCTCGCATGGTGGCAATGACTGATAGGGAGAGACAAAGTGGAAAATGTTATTTTACTTGTATGATGTTTCTTCAAACTTTACAAAAACAGCCAGAACCAGAAAATGGTTCTTTAGACCGGTACAATTACACAACTTGGAGCCGCAAAGAAATGCTTAGGAGTGTGTGGAGCACTCCAAATCATCAGTATTAAGACTATTTTTGTAAATGTTTTAAATTTCACACTGTAGTTTCACCATCCCTTATTTGATAGGGAAGCATTAAGAAAATCACAAATGTTTGTTTTCTGTAGGTAAAAGACAAACTTTCACCTACTGTCACATTGATTATGTGAAACATTGAACTAGGGATGGGTTGGGGTTATGGTTAGTGTGCTCTTTACTGATTCCCTTATTGATTGTTGATAGATTTTCTGTGTGAAATACAGGTTCTCATCATCAACACAACTGTTTTATTATCTCTGTCTGAGTGTCTAAACACAGTAGAAAAAAAGCCATGCATGTGACTCAGGTTAATCAATGTTTAATTTGGAACCAGTTCTCAACTGGAACCGGTTCTTGATGTCAAACTCTAGCAATGAGAGAATATTTGTGTAGCATTTGTTTTCATTTCGGTTTTCTTAGTCAAAGAACAAAAAAACTGCTAATCTTGCCTGCAAGGCACCAGTGTTTTTATACAGGATATTTTACCATCAGTTACAGACACACTGTTCGGTTAGAAAGCAGTGGCACAGGAATTTAAGCCTTGTGTTAAAAGATGTTTGTTGCACATTTTTGGTGTTTCCATCCTTACTTGAAATGATCATTTTACAATTAAAACTAGCATTGTTGTCATCTTTCTTCATGAATTGAAGCCACATTTTGGGCCGTTTCTTCCTCTCCGCCGTGACTCCTTCTTGTTGCAAGTTTTCAGCAGCATAGATGCATGAGTCTGACATCATTGTATTGCAATGTGCAATTGTCAGAAAAATATGCCGCCATCGATAAATGGAATTGATAAGCTTGCAGGCGTACAATTCAGATGGATTGGACAATTTCAAACCGACCCTCAACTGGAACCGGTTCTCGATTCTCATCCCTAAACAGGATTGAGAAACCTCTTGTCTCTGAGGCCACCACTATATGACTTCCTTAACACACACACACACACACACACACACACAAGAAAGAACACACACACACAGTTGTGACACTGTCACAGACATGTGGGTCAGAGTTCCTAGCCTTGACCACGCCTGCCAGTTTACAGGACACAGAATTGATTTCCTCTGAACTTTACACGCTGAGCAACATTAACCAACAAACAACACAGAAATCTATCATGGCCAGTGACAGCAGCTATCTGCACCGTGTTGACTTGGCACACTGTGTTGACTGGCATTATCTAGCAGAAAAAAGAAAAAAGGTGCAGTTGCCCAAAGGCAATCAGTGGGAGTAAACAACCTCTTATTCATACAATCATCTGAATCTACCTGCTTAACCTTGTCCGGATACTGTGGTCAAGAAAGCTCACCAGCGGCTCTAATTCCTAAAAACACAGAGGAAGTTTGGCATGAACGCCAACATCCTCACAAATTTCTACAGGTGCCCGATCGAGAGCTTGCTGATGGGCTGCAACACAGTGTGCAACGGGAACTGTTCTGCTGACAGCCGCAAATCTGCCCCCAGCCACAAGTCATAGAGTGGTGGAAGAGGCACAGCACATCACTGGTCAGTCAGGATATCTTTCACCAGCTGTGCCTGTGGAAGGCACACAGCATCATCAAGGACCACAGCCATTCAGCACGCAGACTGTTCTCCTTGTTACGGTCTGGTAGATGATACAGGAGCATGGCTGCACATACAACCAGACAAAGGATACCAAAAGCTTCTCAACTCATTAACAAATATTACTTCTGTCCGCAAAAATAAACCATGACTGCTGCTATCATAACAGGACTGATACATACCCAATGTGCAATATTTCTGTCAACTCTGTCAATTTACTTTTATACACAAATCCTCATTTTCATATTTATTTAATGTTATACTTTATTTATCTCATTCAGTCTTTATTCAAGTTTTATTTCCTTGCTTTCTTTATCTTATTTTATCTTTATATGACTAGTTGCTGTTGCAACTATTACTCTTACAGCTGAGCTGACCTGGTTTTCTCGTCCAACACATTTCATTGTACCATTGACCCTATATGACTAATAAAACTGAGCTGAACTGAACAGATAAAGGCAAACCCTCCCCAGATTCTTGTCTGAACAGAAACAGGGTTATATAAGTAAGATTAAAAGAAGCATTGCTACACTTTAGAAGTTTTGCATTGCCATGTAATATTACTGATCTAACATTTAATGATGTATAGTAATAACTAGGGTCATTTTTGAGAATATTGCTGTGTCAATGTTATTGAACTTGTCTTTGCAAGTAGTTAAATACACACTGCACATTAATGTCCTCTCATGAAGTCTAATTAAGCCTAAACTTATGATTTGAGATCTGTGTCCATGAAGCAACAAAGAGATTTACGTATTTGGTAGAGAAGTGAACAAGAGATCCATTGTTCTTCTGGCTCCTGCAGGAATTACTCTTGGGCTGCTTAAACATTCTTGAATGAACCACATTGCATTGCACACACAGAGGTCTTTTTGGGGTTTCTCTCAGTTTGGTGCATGTTACTGCAACTAATTAGCCTACTACTTCATGCACAATGCAATATTTAATCTCTGTTGAATTTCCTAAAGACCCTGGGAAACGAGCAGACCGGCTTCATTGCTCAGAGGTGGCCTTATTGAAAGCAGGTCACACTGTGAAAAAAATCTGCTCAAACCATTGTTCAGTGAGCAGTTAATCACTTTTGTTTTCCTCATCTATTTCGCAGTAATAAATCCCATCAGAATCCCGGTGGCCCCCAAAGATAAAGAAAACTTTAACTAGCCCTTGCACAGTGGTTCCTAAAGTGCCAAAAAGGACAGCACTAATGATTTGTTTTGATCACAATTAGTTTAATTAGAGAATGTATAAGATAATAAAGGTAAATAATTAGTTTCACTATGACTGAAGGCCTACAGCCTATTATGTAATTTTGCATTAAGTCACACCTAACAACATGAGGCGGGGGTTGAAGACAGGGGTGGGGGTGGGAGGGTGGTCTAATCTAATTCTGTCTGAGGCTCCATGACATGCTTTAGGATCTCCCAATTCCTACAATGACATTAATGATGGCTGGGAAGCAGGAGAGGAGAAGCACAGACCAACAATGTCAAAGTGGGACACCCCAACTCCACTGTGCACCAATGAAGACTTCAAACAAGGCCCTTGCTTTAGAGTGAACCCTCGCTTGTACAGGTCTCAAACTTTGTCCCCCTTTCAACACTCGCTCCAGTGAGGGGACTATAGGCACATTAGACACGGCACTAAACCGGAGCAGGCGGTCTACAATTCACTGCGATAAAAGGGGGCTTTGTGCTGGAGAAGTCACTTGAAAGAGAACTGACAAGACTTCTTTTATGATTCCGCCTGGCAAGCGGCATCCTCGCAGAGCCCTACCCTGGAAACTGCGCTTTCAGATGATAATATTAGAACTATAGGGGCGACTGAAACCAAGTCCTTACAAAAGGATATGGATCCGATATCAGTAGGGTTAGCGATTTCAATGGACTCTCCACTAAGTCACTTATTTGCGTTAAGACGGAGTTGCGCATGAAACTCAACCGAACTTTGTGCGTAAAGGAGGCTTGGTGCAATAGCAGAGCTTTGCAGGGTAAAGTAAACACGGAATAGGTTTTCAGGCGAACCACACTGTTCAAAGGCTTGCTACTAATAGGTCCGATCAAAGAAACAATGTAGAAGAAAGCGCATTTACCATGGTAACGCTTCTTTTCATCTTTGGCCAGCGTGACGGCGATTCGTAACCCGATGCCGGAGGAGCAGCCGGTGATCAGCACAACTTTCTGCCCGCTGTTCGCCATGATTTGTCCGGGTTGAGCGCTGTGTTTTTCAGCGGTCCTCTGCTCCGGATGGTCGCTGCCGAGGGAGCTACCGATCACCGGACTTTAAAGAACTAAAGCGGATCATGCAGCCACCGCAGCCATGTGAGCGTCTAATTCAGTCACATGCTCAATAAAATCAGTAAGCAAAAAAGACGTGGCATCGCAAACACCCCTTGCAGACAAGATTTTTCAACTTGATAAGTGCCGCCTGCCCTGAAAATGAAGTTAAAGTGTGTTTAAAATGTGTGTGGCCGTGCATGCGCGCACGTGCGTGTTGCAGAGGGGGCAGTGCTTATTTGATTTCTGAGCTCGTGACCCCCAACAACAAATAACTAATATTATTACAGTATCCACTGAAAGTTTTGTTCAATACCTAATGGTATTTCTGGTTCCCTATTATGTTGCAGTTCATATTCTTAATAGGATTTTTGTACGATATATTTGATGGTTGCCTGCCAACATTTTTATTTCATCTTTTAAATTAAATTAAATCAAATTAGTTAATTCAATTCTAACACAATATTTAAAATGGCTCCACGTAGGATTTCATAACAAATCATTGTTATTGTATATCATATTATTTTTTATTCATATTATTACAATATTATTTTCATTATTATTATTATTATGCTCTTTGCTGTTGCCCATATAGAGCTAAACTAAAATTAATCGCTTGCTGTTCGACTCCAGTTGATTTATTTATAAACTAGTCTCCAATGCTTTTGAAGATTATATTGTACTGCCATCTGGTGGTAAGAAAAGGTGTAGCATTCTTACGAAGCACTCAGGCTTACTGAGTGCATGATGCATACCTTATCAAATAAATAATGCTAATTTCATCATTGTTGTCTAAATACTAACTAAATATAAGAATGGAAGAAGTGTGGTGTGAGTTTGGTGTTTGTCAATGATTCCATTAGCAAGAGTCTGTCATGGTGACTAATGGACCCTGTTCTTGACAGATGATATTAGGGGTCAATGTGCCTCTGATAAGATCTCAAAGCAGACTTGCTTCTATTTCTGTGATGAAAGGCCATAGTGCAAGAGTCAGAGTCTGTCATGTTTGGACCTGTTGCTAAATGTGATGCAACCACATGCAAACTGTAAACAGTATGGTGGAAGATGTATGTTTTCCATTTGCTCTAATACTGATCTTCATAACCCCCGAGCAGAGATAAGTGAATTAGCCAAAGAGCAATCCGGGGTGATAAGTGAGTGATCTATGTGCTAAAACAGTTTTCTGCATCTACTTATTCCTCCAATAAAGGATGTTATCAGATTTCTTTTACAATTTTTAACCCCCAGGCTTTTTTATTTTAAAAAAAGTATGTATTCTTAATTTGTTAAAATATTTAATTTAGTAAATGCATTCATTAAAGAATAGCATACTTAGCATACTGGTTTCTGTTTTGAATTATTTTGCTGGATCTTCTCTGCTCAGACGCTTTTGTTTGTCGTTCGCACAGAGTTCAGGAGGATTAGGCAGTACTCTATAGGAGGCCGCCTAGGCCAAAATTAAATACTTCACTTGCACATACATATATACCGGTACTTACTAAGTACTTGCACACACATACACATACTCTCTTGTATATACATACCGGTGTGTATGTAAATGCAAGTGAAATATTAAGTTTAGGCTTTTGGGTTTCTCACAATACACTGGCATGATATTTTATAATAATAAGTTAATATAATAATTAGTCTGACATGCAAAATAGTTCCACACAGGTAACGTGAATCTGGATGTGTTTTCTGTTGATTTTTTCTCCTCAGTTAATCCAATCTGATTATGTATTCCATAATGCATCTAAGACTTGTAATTTATTTTCTGATCCAGAACATTTCTGTCCTTTAAAACATATTGTGAGCATACAATGATAAATATAGGTGCCCCTGTTTTAATCCTCCCCCCTGGTTACCCCCTTTAACCACAATCCCCTTTTAACATGTTAACACAGTTTGAAGCATTAAGGACACTTTAAGGACAAGATAAAACAGTAGGTGAAAGCACAGGACATACACACACACAGAGAACAGCAGAAGGAACAGTGGGAGAGGACAGGGACGGTTTCCTCCTTTGAGGGTAAACTGAGGTTACAGCAGCTATTCATTTCTGTCATAACTTTGAAAGGAGAGATTCTCCCACAGGGAAGACATTTTTTAACAATGAGTGGAGTCCTGGCCTGATCCATCAAGGGTCAGTCAGTAACCAGCAGGCTAATGGTTTGAAGACAGGTTTAGCTTTACTGTGAAATATCCACCTCAAGCATGTGAACTCAACACATGAGCATATCATTTAAAAAATATATTTTTTATAGACTTACAACCATCATTGCTTGTGATAAATTGTCTAATATGTTGACAACACAGAGCAGACAGTCAGCTTACATAGAGTTCAGGCCCAATTTCCTCTTTCTGTCTCACAGAGCTGATGTCTGCTTATTTAGAACATCCCTAAGCTCTGACCCATTTCTTTCACTGGAAAAGCAGAAGTTTACAATGAGATAACAAAAGTATAATTTGCATTGTGAGATAAAGCAGCTTTAAATCCGAGTTGACAGTGTGAAAAACAACATGCACTGCAGAGACGTTTTAGTTTATATATTTGGCTACATTTCAGATTTTAGAGAGTAACCTACAATTAAAGGCGGAATAGAGCACCGAAATTCTAAGCAACAAAACATAGACATGTCAAAAAGAAAGGCATTCTTTTTTCACCTCTTTTTCACAATGTGAGTGAAAGAATCCATGTAACAACGTATGTTACTTTTTGCCTTTTTTATGGCAGAGCAGCAGGTGGTGGTGTGAGCAAATGTCATGGTCAGGGATGAACAGAGAATGAAAAATGACCATGAGCCTTTGACCTAGCCCAGCCCACTAACACTGACCCAACAATTAAAAAGCCCTGAATAGCCAGTTGGCTCTTTTGCTACCAACTCCTTATTTTGTATATGACCCCTAATGTTATATTATGACACAATACAAAAAAGTATAAACTCAGTAAAGACCAACCCTAAAGCTAGAACCGCCTGTTAAGTAAGGAGTAAGGAGTCCAATGATACACAACATTTTATTATATTTTGTTTTCATCAGTCCATTAATGGCCCAACAGGAAAGCTGTTGGTACTCCAGATGGCCAGTCCACCAGCACATACGGTGCTAAAAAGGGCCGGAGGAAGCTGGTGGAATAAAATCAGGGCTATCCCTGGCATGCTTTCGCTTGTGCCTCTGGAGAAAGTGGACAGGTGTGGATGGAGATGAGGAGGGGTGCTGGACAGCCAGTGATGTCTACCAGCCTCCAAGCTATTTCTGTGGAATTTCAGAAGATTGAAGCACTAAGACACCGAAGAAGTGAGGAAAGAGACAAAGAGGAGGGGATGATACAAGCCCCTACATGCTTTTCCATGCCACACGCTTTCTCTGCCTTTAATGTGTTGTTGTAAACCCTCCTCCCTTTTTCACCTCAGACTTTCCCCTCTTCACTTTCTCTGCACCTATTCACAGTAGCTAACCCTTCTTGTAGCAATCAGTTTTTCAACATCGTTCGTCAGAGCTTTCACCTGTTCCCTCTAACACCTCTGAGCATACTCCAGCTGTGCCCCGGGCCCAAATCATCTGTAACCTCTTTATCAAAGTCCAAGTCTTAGAAAATGACACCCCCATCCCCTCTAAACATGCTTTTATAGCATAATAGTCAATTTCCTGTGTACTGACTTGAGCAGATGCTCCTGGAACTTTCACGACTGTTCCAGCTGACTTTATAAGCCCAATGTCTGTTTTCACTTATCATAATTAAAGATGGATTTTGTGATTAGCCTGAGATGCTATTCTAAATGTACAATGTACGAAATGTATATTTCCTTTAACATTTTTGATGCTTTTAAATATAACATTTTTATGCATGCAAATTTTTTTTAGCACAATTTTACAAATATTTTCTACAAATCCTCATCATAAAGAAAGTGCATCGAACGGACTATCGCATGTTTTGGCCCTCCTGTTGGTGGCATCTCCATGCAGTAGCACTGGACAGAGACAGACTCTGGTTGATGCTACTGGAAGGGGACTCTGGCTGTGTGAAAGGGCCAAGAGACTGGAATGTTTGCCACAGGTCAGGAGTGGCGCTTTCTGCTCTTTTGTGTGCAGTCTGCAGAGGAGGTGTGGAATGCAAACTTCCTGAGAATAAAAGGGACGAAGGGAAAGAGTAGCTGGGGGTCGGTGGGCGGGAGGGAGACTTAAAAACAGCGAAAGAATAGGTGCAAAGACTCAAAAAGGAGTGAGCTGGGAAAGTGTTTTAGGGGTTCTGAGGCAGACAGAGAACACCGTTAATTGAGAAAATTGCTAAAAGAGAAGTCCACGAGCTGCTCCGAAAGAGGAGAGTTAAAAGTGTTGCTGCAGCTGCAGACCACACACAATGAACACTCAACAGAGAGTGCTTTGAGAGCAATGACACACTAAAGATCATAATGTGGCATTTCTCAGCTCCAGTTAATGACATTCTTAGAAACATTCATAGAGTTACAGCTCAACATTATACGTCATTCATACATTCTGAGTCACATGCCTGTTGAAAAGCATTAGCCTAGTCAAACAGTGAAATTTAGATTGGACTCAAAAGACTGTTGTTGCATAAAATGTCTTCATGGAAACAAGTTGAAACATAAAGAACAGTGCCAGAGTGGAGGTTATTCAAAGGTTTTCCAAAAACAGAAAGCGAAGAGAAACAACAGCATGGTGCCAGTTAAATCTGATCTTAGGCAAACTTAAGTACACAGATAGATTCCCAGGGGGGCTGTCCACTTAGCCACTGTGGCACCATGTTACAGGACTCTTCTGACCAAATCCTTTGCATTTTGTATCCCCACAGTATCTGCTCTTAGAGTAAAATACATTTTATATTATAAATTAAATGATTTCCTATGGTTTTTGAAAGAAAATTGGTGTTATCTGGGCCTGGAACTAAAATTCAAATGTTTTTCACACAATGGGACAGTTCAAAGAAATATTGGTGTGAATCACGGTGTCAGTGTTCGAATTTACTATAAGTACCCCTGCAAATGCCAATTTTCAACCTAATCATGGTGTTTTGTGTTATAAACTGAGTGAACGGTGAAGAGCACGGTACACAGCAGAGTAAGTTTGAGTATGGTTACTGGTTCAGTTTATTTAGTCTATTTGTTTGAGCAGTTCATTTAACAGACATGGTCCTTAGATGTTAATTAGCTTGGTCTCCCGT